TTGCCCTTTCGCTATGCAGGTTATGGCGTTTCTCCTTTCCAGCTCTATATGGTATTGCGATAACCGGGTGCTTCTGTTATCAATTGGTGGAGTGAGGTCTTGGCAAAGGGGGGCCGCGGAGGTATGGAGAAAGTGCTAGCGATGGCAAAACATATACGGCTGTGTAGAAGTGTCGAAGTTTTTTGATATCAAGGGAGAGGAGCGAGTTAGGTGGCTGCGAAAGCTTTGTTTGCCCTGGAGGTGAACTTGCCAGTGCTAGGTTCCCGCAAGTCTGGCTCCAGGTACGCGTTTGAATTGGTCAGTCACTGAGCATGGCTGTGTGGAATTAAATCGCGATGGAGCGGGTCATTCTCGTACTGATGTAGCATGCATTGAGGTTGTTCTTCGCGACAATGCATGGGACAGTTTTATTTGCTTCGTCTCAACCGCTAGATTATTGCTATAATCTGTTGATTTGTGAGCTCCAAGCAATAGAACAGACCTTTCTTTGATTCTTGCAAAAGGTTATACACGAGTCGAAGTTGAGTTGGATTGTTCTCCGGCAATTGTTGCTCTCAGTTCTAATTCTTTTTCTCTTAACACCCTTCGGTCACTTTGTCGATGATATTAATTTGCTTGCTAGAGATTCTGCTTTTATAGCTTCGCTTATATGAGGAGAGAAGTCAATTCTGCGGCTCATTCTCTAGCTAAGTTAGGAGCTAGAACTAGGCGAAATTAATTGTAGGGTGATTGTGTTCCTCTACTTGCAAAATTATGTACTTCATGATTTATCATCCAATTTTTAAACAAGTGTTATTAAAACAAAAAGATAAAAAATAAATAATATAAAAGCTTCGTATATGCAAAATTTCACCCAGTACACTCATATCGATTTTTTCTACCACTACCGCCTAATAATTTTAGTTTTTAAATGCGAAAATGCTGCAAACCTTTTGGAAATTTTGATAGAGTATGTTTAGAAACTAACTTAACGAATAGAAAACCCCTGTATTAGAGTATTGAGGAGTACTTTCCATAAACAACAAGATTTGGGGGTAAATTTACAAATATAGGAGATTTGGGGGTACATATACAAGAACCCCTAAAAATTATCGTTCTTGGGGCTTAAGGCTAGTTTTTTTGAACTGAAAAACATGGTGAGGTACCTTGCTCATATCTATATATATAAGGAAACTGAAAAAGAGTCTGATACAACCGAAATCAAAGAACCTATGGGAAATTACGTAGTAAGAACGAGCTGATAAGGAGCGGACCTTGTCGTCACCTACCAAGCCGTCAAACTAAGTAACATCCACCAAGGCAAGGATAGAAAACAGACATACAGATGTTGTTCATAGGATTAAGAGTCTGATACTGCAAAATCCTAACAAAAAACAGTACAGGCCAAAAGAAAACAAACAAAAGCTGAGGCTGCAAGTATACAACGACCACCATTAACTAGTACTCTTTGAGAAGTTGTCACCAATATCCCCTGCTGCATTTTCCTTGGCTATATCCTACAGCTTCAGATTGTGAGCTGCCCTTCGAAGCCGCCTTGCAAGCATATTGTCTTTAGCCCTTGTCCAAAGCATGGTATTGTAGGCGTCAAAAAATGCTTACAGACATACAAATACCACTCAAGATGACATAGGAGAATATACACGTCATCAAACAACACATGGCGGCGCGACAAGACATAGTGCCGCGGCTAAGGCACGGCAGACCAAGATGCCACGGCTAAGGCGCGGCAGATCAAAGTGCCGCGGCTAAGGCGCGCAGCAGTTACGAAACAGTTATATGATGATTTTTGAGGCCCACGTGGCAGCATACCAGAAACAGAACGTGTGCTGACGTGTACAAGCAGTTAAACCACGAAAAAGGTGGTTAAAGGTCGTGGGAGAACTGTTTCAAACACGTATGAACGTGGGTGTAACTGCCCCTTTAGCCGCGGCAGTGTCGACTGTCGCGCTCTTTGGCCGCGACAGTGTCGACTGTCGCGCCTTTAGCCGCGACAGCATCAACTGCCGCGCCTAAAGAGATAGTTGTGGATCGGTTATTTCTTCAGTTATCGTCTAAGGAGGCTATAAATACCCCCCTATGGTCATCATGGACAAGGGGGGAGCATTTTCCAGAGAGATTAGAGCAGAGAGCCTTGAGTTTTGGTGAATTAGAGCAAGAGAGAGAGTCTTCCTTCTTCACAAACATCCTCAAGAAGCTTCTAGCAAGTCCTAGAGATCTAAGCTCAGACTTGATCTTTGGAAGAGTGAACATCTTACATCGATAAGATATTCGCTTCAAATTCTTACTTCGATAAACGAAGGAAGAATCATTAAACCCCTCACGGTTCAATCAGAATCTGTGATTTGGTGGTCCACGAGTCAAAGCGCTCCCGGCACAGGCAAAGATCCCACGCAAGCAGCGATCCAAACAACGATCCTGCGTTTGTTTCTAAGAAGTTGTAATTTTCATTTTGTTGTGTAAAAGAGGTCTTATAAAAAGACTATTCCTTTGAATTTATTGTAATCGACTGAAGATATAATGAATTCCACAACGAGAGCAACTTTTGACGCAAACAGGTATATCTAGTGATATTAGAAGCAATATGAGATGGATTAGCTTGAATATCTCTAAATATAAGGTTATTTCTGCAGTTCCACATTCCCCAGCAGTAGCATGATAACATGTACTTTCATATAGCTTTTAAATCTGAGCTGAAGTTGGGGTCTCTGTAAACAAGAGTCAAAGCCTCCATGGTAAGAGGCCAGCTTACCTCAGGGACATGAGGAAGGAGAGAAGACCAAACAGAACCTGCAAATGGTTGGAACAAACCGACGGGGTTCGTTATCACGCGGACCTAAAGTCGAGGAGACATCGAGTGGTTCAGTTGTTTCAACAGTCAATCACTCGTATCTCTGCTAAAACAACGACGGATGAATGGACTATTGACAAAAAGACTCGTTCGACCCTCAAAGAACGTATACAAAAACGTCGTGCGAACGCTGCTCTTATTCGTGCCATGGTAAGAGGCCAGCTTACCTCAGGGACATGAGGAAGGAGAGAAGACCAAACAGAACCTGCAAATGGGCAGTGGATAAACAAGTGGTCTTGAGTTTCTGTCACTAGGTTGTAATGTGGGCAACGAGGATCACCATGCCAACCTTGGTGACTAAATTAGCCATAATATTAAGCTTATTGTTGCTTATAATCCAGAACAGTGTCTTGACCTTCAAAGGTATACATGATTTCCAAATGAACTCATGGAGCTGAAATTTTATCCCTCCAGAAATGATTGTGGAGTAAAAAATTTGTCAGAGAAGGAACCAGAGGGGTGGAAGGGCCACTAGAGGCTGTCTGGTTTAGAGTAGCTAACAATCGAGTGTCCCACCAAATGGTTCAAGAGATTGTCAATATCTCTTCTCTCTTCGTTAGTGATACCTCTTCTGAGGATGGAGTGCCATTGTCACAGAGAATGATGTAGATACCCTTGAGACCGAACATTACTGAGATTGGAGAAAGCAAGCTGGAAAGCTTTAGGAAATAGACTAGTTAGAGAATTAGCATTAGACCATCTATCAATTCAAAATTTGCAAGATTTTCCATCCCCAACCTGTCATCTAACCAAACTGAAGAAGGAAGTGTAGATAGAGTGTAAATCGTGGATGAATTTAGATGCATTACCGCTAGGGGGATGCACAAAGGGGTTGGAGTTGGCTTTGGAATAGAGAGAGAAAATGAATTTACTAAGGAGAGAACTTTTGTCAAAAGTTTTCCAAATCCATTTGGAAAGGAGGGCGTGGTTGAAAGTAGAAATGTTAATAACACCAAGACCTCCCTCTTTCTTGGGTCTGCAAACAGTGGCCCATTTGACTAAGCATTTTGATTTGGACAAATGGTGGTTCCCGTTCCAGAGGAAGTTCCTCCTAATGCTGTCAATGGCCTTAACAACCCAAATTGGCAACTTGAAGAAGGACCCATATAATAGAGGGGGAGAGCAGAGAGGACAAAGTTCAGGAGAGTGAGTCTACCACCAATTGATAAATATTTGTTTTTCCATAGAGATAACTTGTTCTTAAAAGAATCCAGAAGAGGTTGCC